CAGCTGTCCTGCGGTTCTACTGAAGTTTTAAAGTGGGAGGTTGATTGTTGGTAGTGGATACATGTTACTCATTACTCATGCGCCTTTGAACTGTTCATCTACAGCCCGACTACTTCAGTCCGACTACTGTTACATCAATACATATCGCACACTGAATGTAGTGTGTAAAGAATGTGTAAACGGTTTTTGGCAAGATCGTTAACGGTTTTTGGCAGAAGCCAGTAAGGTCGCAAAATTCTGTGTTGAGGCTTGCGAGTAGGTCTGACACCAAACAAACATTAGTTCCAAACATTAGACACTTGACAGCATATGTCCTTCAGCTTGTGGAGACTACAACAAGGCCACAAGCTTTTTCAGTTGTGATGGAGCCGGAGAGAATCCAAAGGAAGTTTGTTGCTCTGAGCATTTTCTCGTGAAGTTTGGTGGCGTTCGCTCCTCTTGTGCGTCGTAGTGTACAGCTGTCGACCTTAAACCAACCAGCCCTTTGGCCGAGAGCTGTCCCAAGCAGAGCTGTCCCAAGCAGAGCTGTCCCTTTGTCCAGCCCACTATGGAGCTAAAGGACGCTCCCCGCGACCAAAGTGACTGGATGTTGGGAGAGCGTTCACAAGGTGGAGATGATGCTGACTTGATATGAGAGATGATGATGTATGGTCCGCATGGTGCAACCCACACACGTGGGGCACCATCTTGCTGCGACTTTTCGCTCATCCGCTGATCAATGTGGGCCACCAAACTCATCGCCGTTGGGCCGGAGTGCCGGGACAGGGCGCTTGTCCGCCACAAACATCCAATCAACACACAAACATTCACAAACCACACTGTTTAGATGCAGGCTTTGGCCATTTTGTTGTGCCAAGGGAACTGTTCGGCTGTACACTGTGGGCGGATTGTTGAGGGCGTTGAACTTCTGGTTTTTACTGACATGCTTTTGAAACAAAGTTTTAATGCACGATCAGCGGGGGAGTTGATGGTTCAAACGATCTGCAGAGATGAATTCTTGCAGTATAGCATTTTTATCGGCCACCGATCAAACACCTCTCGGCAGTGGCAAAATGGTCCACCTGGGATGTCATCGCAAGCATCCTTGAAGCAGGATGAAGCCGATCAAGTGGAATATGATGCCATCAGACATAGATGCAATGATGAGATGCAATGATCTTACACTCCCCATACTTCGGTCATTTTGGTTGCTCCATTGCTGGGTGTTTGCGAACAAACACTTAATTCCAGCAGCGAACAACCGCTTAATTCAGCTGCCACCAGCAGCGGGAAGGCCAGCTGACATTTTCTGCCCTTTGTGGTGTTTGGCCTCACTGTTGTCGTCTCTTCAGCCTCTCAGCTCACAGACCATCATATGCAGGGAAGACTCAGGGTGATGACGACCTTCTATTATTGCATAACACAGAGGAGTCCTTTTCCAAAAAGGAAAAGGCAATGAAGATTCACAATCCAGTCAACCCAGCAAAGGTGTTAGTTAGAGGAACTGAAGTAGCTGTCAAAACCTGCTTGGTGGCTTACGGATTCAGCGCTGCTCAAACTGCCCAAACGCTTCCTATTTGTGGTCAAATTCTTGTTGGCTAGAACTAGTGTTCTTGAATGTTTGCGAGCCTTCTTCCTCACATGTAGCTTAGACCTAGCCAAAGATGGCTGTTCATTTTGTGCCCCAGCAACCCGGGAACATTCTACATCTCGCAAGGGTCAAATCTCTGAGAACGGATATTGACCGCAGGTGTGGGTCTAACTCCATGCAACAACCCTCGAAATGCTCTGGACAGGTCTAAATCCAAATCGTACTTTTCCACCCTCGTCAGTGAAAACCTCTAGTCTGGCACTGTGCCAGACTCAGCCAGCATTAATGGTAGCGATATGGAAATTCCTTGTTCAGATTCGCTTTGAATCGGTGTCAGTCAGAGCCATGGCACATCTGACGATGCAAGTGGTTTGCCATGGACATACAAGTGGGCCAATTTGGGCCCGCCAATTCACCTCTCACGTGTTCCACCCTACAGGGCCAGCCATTCGTCAAGTTTGCATTCTGCCCAAGGTCTGAGGAGATTGGCAGATCTCGCACTTGGAAAGTCTCAGTTGGGCGAGGCATTTTGGAAGGCTTCATGACAACTAGTGTAAGTCGTGGTATGGGGTTACACCTTCAGCATTCTTGGATTGATAGAAGCCTGCTACGAATCACTGGGGCTGTGTAGCAGGAGCTTGGGACACCTGTTCTCGGTCAGCAAGAAGCCAAGCAAGTGGCTTGTGAGTTCAAATTTGTTGGTGGGCTAACTTGCAGTGAAACACCTTAGACCTTGGGGAATGTGATTTTTGACACCCCTCGAAGGGCGATGTGCAGGGGCCTGGTCCTCTTCATGACCAAGACTGGTTGTTGGACATCTAACACAAAGATGGATGAACGCACATGTGGGGGGTGATGTTGGCTAAGATTTGTCACGTAACGTCCATAAATCCGGCTTATTCAAATCGGAGTCCATGGCAAGAACACTGCTACCCAAACTTCACCCACGCCGAGTTCACATCACAGGTAGTTTCACTTCCTTGCCTGATCTGCCATAAGAGTATCGCTGTTTGAGCCGCCTGTGACAGCCAAGGTTCAGAGAACAGGCAACAAAGGACTCCCTTTGCTTGCGCCTAACAAAATGCTTTGAGGGAAACCTGATGGTCTTGCGAGAAACACACTCCTATCATTTTGGTTTCTCTGCTGCTGGGTATTTGATGCTGAAATTTATGGTGGACACTTCTCTACCCTGAGCCATGTATCCAGACAAACAGGACAGCGAGCAAAACACCGCCGCAACATCTTAAAGACTTGTCCAAGTGAGATGCCCCTGCCATCGATAAAAGCACAAAAGAGTCATAAAAGACTTTGCAATGCACTCCAGTTGCGAGATATTTGCGAAAGCTGTCTAGAGACATAAGTAGGTAGGCCAAAAGCTTGCAAAAGCACTTTAAGGCACTATGATCAGTATGGAGCGCGCGAGAGCCATAACCCAAGTCGCCAGCGTGCGGGGGAAAGACATGATGAACACAATGATTCAGGAAACCGCAAATCTACATTGATTTTGACGAGTGCTCATGCGTCTCGAAGACATTTGCAACAAGAGGCCATTCAGCTGCGACCAGCAATGGGAACTGCTTCTGGCGGCTGACAGCGAGGAGCAGATTGGCCAGCTGACATGTTCTGCCCCTTGTGGTGTTTGGTCTCACTGTTGTCGTCTCTTCAGCCTCTCAGCTCACAGACCATCATATGCAGGGAAGGCTGAGGGTGATGACGACCTTCTATTATTGCATAAAACAGAGGAGTCCTTTTCCAAAAAAGCAAAGGCAACGAAGATTGACAATCCAATCAACCCAGCAAAGGTGTTAGTTAGCTGTCAGACCCTGCTTGGCGGCTTACGGATTCAGCGCTGCTCAATTTGGGAAGATCCTACTTCAAAAAACACCATTTGTGTTTTTTT